ATATTCGATAATAGATGGCGTGAACGATGGACGATTTCTTGAAAAATTTCAAAATGCGTTTCGAATCTTATTATGAAGTTGAACTAGACTTTCAAGGATGTGTGTCCCTTCTTTCAGGACCTGAAGAGTGCGTTGATGAATATTACCTGATAAGAAGAGACAGGACGTAAAAGAGACAGAGCGCAACAAATAATCCGTGCGGAAACATCTTGATCTTGACATATCTGTCACGAGTGTCATATTCTCTGCTTATTCATGATTTTGTTCAAATTTCAAATATAAATATTATAAATTAGAAGCAAAGATATTATATTATTAGTTGAGTGAGTGTTTCCATCATGAACTGACTGCTGCAATGTGACCAATCGTTTAATCTTGTGTACCAAAAGTGAGTAAACAAACTATTATCACACGATTTTCTTGAGTTAGGACTTCATGTCGTTCATGAATTTACCATTGAAAGTCGAGAATATAACGCACCCTTTTTCATTTGAACAAAACATTGTGAAAATGTAAACTCAAATGAATGAGTCATGATGCCTGTAAATTTGGTTTGAAACTTCGGAAATTCAGCAGGATTCTCCCACGCCTCGCTATTTTCACAAAGTAGTCGATATCGAGAGATTTCGAAACTCCTTTCAATAGGAAGTGATAACACCATTTGACTTCCTATACATCTATCTTGATGGCGTTTATGTCAATCTTCTCAATCTTGTGTTGTCAGAATGTCAGAAAATTATCTAATCTTTGGAAATGTCGCGATTTGGAGTGGAAAATTGAAGAATCCATCATCAAAGTACAGTCAAAAAATGTTTTTGGTCGAATTAAACTTGACATTTATTATTTGAGTTTTGTTGCCTTTAGGATATTCAACTGACAAAAACTGCCAGGAAAAATTACAAAAAATTAAATCATCTCTAGATGATGATTTTGAGTTTGATCTTACAGATTACTTACCATATCACTCAACTTTGAGTTGCCATTGACACCAGATTAATGTAGATTGTAGAAAATGTAATTAATACCCAATACCTCCATGATGAATTCACTTCCAGTGAAATCAACAGTAAAAAAACGCTCGGTTGTATTATAAATCTTTCCTTATTCTGTTACTCAGGGTAACAAGTAGAACGGACACAAGGTGGTCAAAACAAACATAATAAAACAGTAAAAATATAGATCAATGCCATTAATTTGAGACTGAGGGAAGTAAATATTGGATATTTTCATTTATTTTGTTCCCATGGCAACCTTTGATGAAAACACAGAATTAGAAAATTTTTGGTTCCTAAAATAAAGTTCTGTAATAATAAATGATAGGCAGAGAGACAGGATTCAACAACTGGTAATAATTATAATCACCAATCAAAATAATTATTCAAATAATTTTTTGTAGTTGTTTGACATAGAATATCACCAGCAAACCTGGTTTTGATGATAACTCGAATTTGCTTCATCCTATGTATTTCTCAAATAGTTCACAAAATGGGTATTCAAAAAATTAATTCCATGTTCTACATATTCAAGTTTTTTATGCAACAGATGGTACAACAGAAACATTGATATTTCACATATTATAATCAAATGAGCTCTGTGCTAATATCAAACAATGGATTTTAGCTTCTCCTTGTTCATTGAGTAATGCAAAAAAATATTTTGTAGTTTGAAACACTTGGATATGGAGAATGTTTATATAAATATAAATGATAAAGCACATTTTCAAGTGTTTTTTTTTTTCTTATGTAGAAGTTTATATTTTCTCTGAGTGGAGTGTAATGATATGATTAGAAAACATAAAATCATCACCACAACCTTGTGATATATTGAAAAAATCAATATGATACACTGTAGTGAAAGTTGCAAGGAATATTTCCCAGTCTTTCATTAATTAGAGCAACAATTAACAGCAAAATAGTTATTTATACAAGGTAGTAGTATTACCCTGGGACTGACATTATATCCAGAGGCTTCAGCCCAGGGGTATGAGGTCCTGTGGTAATATTATTCTTTAGTACCAAGGTGTATATTAAATTTTATTCACCACTAGTAGTATATTTCATTTCAAATATGGACCTATTGTCACTATGAAAGCACTTCTTTTCAATTCAGTTTAAAATCTAGTAGCCATGACAGCATATGACAAGCCATAATTGATAAATACTCCGATAAATACCTACTAGATTCCAGTGCCATTCCTGAGAATCATGCATAAGAACAGGAAATTCAGGTTAATTATATCAGATGTGCCAATGTCTTCATTAACTAGTGTCTCATAAAATAAAAAGCTACCTTGGTAGAAAAAACACACTTTACATCTTGAAAAGGAATAAATAATGGTAGGTTCTAGAGTTAGTGGTGGAAAAATAAATAAACAATGTTTTCAAAAATAATCAGTTGTAATGGAGCATTTTCAGTTTGAAAAGCTAGAAAGCATGACAACTATGAACATATCCACTAAATGTTTTATTAAAAAACAAATCATTAAGGACATGAACAAAATATAAATGATGTTCAATTCAAAATATAATTGCACCCTTATTGCAGGTGACCTATTGTTCTTTGTAGAAATTTTCACCTTCATTAGAGTTTCTTCAACAAAAGTCATGGTGGATTAAAAATGAATGTGAAGATCTATAATCTCTTGATGTTTTAAGATGAATTATAAAGTGTCTTAGAAACCATGACTCATCATGGCATTTACAAATACTTGGATATTCCCTTCATTTAAAACCTGTTCTCATCAAACCATATTACAATATAGTGAGATTAAAAAAATGTTTTGATTATTTCCATTGATATCATGCGTTTCTGTTTTTAGTTTTCAAAATTACACACCCTATGCAAAGGAACACAAATAATTATCTATATTCAACTATATAACTAACTAAATTTCAATTTGGTGCCTTCAATTTGAAAAATGTGATTTAGAAAAATAATGTGGGTGTCTCACCTTTTGAAATAGTTAGAGCTGGGGACCACTGAGAACGTAGAATGTCCAGACAAATGCTACCATTACTATTTATGTTAGGATGATAGATTCTTGTTGTAAATGCCACTTTGGGAGGTTTAAATGGATAGTCTGTTGGAAAGTGGATTGTTAGGAAAAATACTCCACCTTGGTATGGACTATCTGGCTGAAAATATGAAGAACAAAAAAAAAATTAATACAATTTTGACACAACTTTGAGATATTGAATGATGAATGTACTTCCACAAGTGTATAAAATGCCTTTTATATAAAAAATAATGATTAAGATTATTGTTCCCTAATCATATATTCAACAGAACAGTAATATTTGCCTTAAATTCAATACTTTTCAAAATTATCATCATAAAGTTACTAACATCAAAAGAAATGTCAAAAAGAATATAATATTTCATGATCATTCTTTGATTTGTTGAATGAATACTTGCTTGGAAATTGTGAATTCCAAATTCACTATCAACTATTTCTTGAAACAACAAATATATTTGATCACCATTAACATCCAATATTAGAGAATAGTTGGTTAGTATTTCCAACTGATAGTATCACCTGCATCATTAAACCTGGGGGTATTTGTAATGAATAAGGTAGGTACCTGCATAGTTTCACTATGAAACTGAGCTCTTTTTGCTAAGCTTCTGATGTTCAAAGGAGAGAAAATTTCTCATCATAATTATTCAATTATTTTTAATTGCAGGATTTCATTTTTTGGAACGAATATATATGATCTTAATCAAATTGCTATAATTGATAAATGAAATCAGTAATGCAATGCTTGATCACAGCATTAGATTTTTGAAATTTGAAATGGATGGTAACTAACTATAAATAATGAAGTATCTATATTTTCATGATAGCAAGTCAATAAGCATAAATCCCAGTGAAAAAATGGACAGCAGTAAACAAATTCTACAGGAGAATAACAAGTTCACACAATCACACCATGTCATCACTTCTAGAATCTAAATATTAAAATATTATAGTTGAAAAAATCTAAACAATTAGTAGAATCCATCTATTCCATCCATCTGTATTATTTTCATATGGATTGTGGCACCAAAATATATTTAGTGAAACATAGTAATGGTCTGATTATTATCTGAAGAAGTTGAATTATTATATTCAGCCAACTGGAATGATGATCAACAGATAAAACAAGAAACATGAAAATATAAAACCATAAATATTCAAGGCCAAATCAAAAATTCAACAAACACAATGCAGCTGTAATCAACCTTTCCAGAAATTTCGTCCTCACATTATCAGTGATTCTATCTGTGAAAATTAGTCAATTGAAAAAGTAAACAAGATAACTAGTTCAAAAAATACTTACTGGTCCCATGATTGTGGCTTGCCAGTGAAATACTGAAATAAAGAAGAGGACCCAAAGTCAAATACAGTGAAACAGGTATTTTCAAAGCACTTACAGTCATCTCCAACAGGTCCTGCTGAACATTGTGCTGGAGGATCTCTGCCGAGGTCTTGTAGTTCCTAGACCAGAAAAAAATAATGGAATACTAGGAATATATCTGATTCTTGAGTTAATTATAGACACCTGAAAGTTAGATGCCTAATAAGGAGAGGTTACAAGTTAGATACTTGAAACTTCAATCTGATGTCCTCAATTAAGCTACACAGGTAAAATTTGTGAAATGTCATTGACACAAAATTAATGAGTAATGTTCACCACCATCAGTTGGTTATCCCCTCCGTTACATAGTATGTATCCGGCATTTTTTTCCATAAATTTTGCCACAAATAAATAAGAAAAATGTTGTGCACCTGTCAATAACTTCACATCACTAGAAAAAAATGTTGAGATATCAACCTTGTGCATTTATTAGACGGAATTAGCCCAAGGAAACTACAGTACACGATAAGATGATGTTCTAAAAGTGTTCACATTGCTTTATCACAAAATCGTTAAGGGCGTTTAGCTGGCGAAAATACAACTTCCAACTTCTTCTATGATACTCCAAATAACAAATCACTGAGAGTCTGAACTTCCACATACCTTATTAATTCGTTTTAAAGCCATTTGGTGTAGTCTGTGTGTGATATATACTGGCTTTTCACCAGACAATGAAAGCGCGAGCCAAGGACCTCTGATAGAGATTGCAAAGATGGCCTCCGTCAAAATCACAGACACGACGTAGATCAAAAAAAATCTATTTAAGGTTCATTCGTCCAAAAATGTCTAGGGTGCTGAATGGACGACTGAAACTAAACACAAGAAAAAGTAAAATGCTTGCAAACACCCCGTTTTCACTTAATAATGCACTCAAAAGTTGTAATGTTCCAGAAGAAATGACTGATCACTTCCGTGGCGACCTTTGGTTTCTGTCGGTAAAGTAGACTTTCTGCACTCTGTAGCTGTCAAATAAATGAGATTTCTCAAAAAAAAGTTGTCAGGGTTCCGCCAATGTTCTGTACCAGCAGGTTCAAACGTAAAGTTTTCACTATTGACTAACAGGTGTCACTAGTATTGAAAAAATCCAAGGTTGGTAGAACAGTAAAGCTGATGATTTGAAAGCTGTTGTACAGGGTGAATCAACTTTCCGAAAGAAATATAGTGTGTAAATAATGTATGGAACAAATCCATTATGTTCCAAACCTAAATGGTTTGAAAAAAATCTCGGACACGTCGATTTATTTTATTTCAATGTATTATATTCAGTATAGTGATACTATATGAGTGCGAGAACTTCACAATTGTCGGTCAGATTTGAGATGTTTATAACTAAATCTCAATCTGATTATTTGAACTGCTAAACTGACACTCTTTGTAATAAAGTAATAAAACCGAAAAATGTCAAAATTCAATCTTATTTACACGACATTGAAACTATTCTTCCTATTTCTGATCGTGAAGCCGCTGGTGAAATTTTTGGCAGAGTGATTTCGGGACACCCTAGTATAACCATAGAAAATGAGAGTAATCATGTCTGTAAAACAAATCTGATTGAAAAATGAATAAACACAGAGGTGAAAAAGGTGTTCATTCCGTGTGATTTTTTTGCGGTAGTATGTACAACAATGCTAATAATAGTAATAATACCAACTATACTTAGGTGAATATTTAATATAAGCTGTTTGCATTAAATAAAAAATAATCAAAGTGTATATTTATAGTTATACTGGTCACTCTTGACGCTAACAAAATGCTGAGTAGGCACGCCAAAATCTTCCAACTTGTCATACTGTCCTGAGGACCCTTTGCCACTATTCTTCTTCTCCTCCTCTTTTTCCAGCGCTTCTTCTTCTAGTGCTTTGTTGTACTCGTCAACTTGCCCCCTTGTAGCCGCAGGACGTTTTTCAGTATTCGGAGTGAACAGGGGCAGAGGAAAGAAGAAAGGTATCCTGCTTGATACTCTGGAGCGTTCTGGACGTGGCAAGAAATCCAGATCTGGCATCGGTGGGAGGAAGTGGGGCAATCTGAAAGGAGGCGATTTGAGTCGGATTCCCGCCGAAATTTGCACAGGGTGTTTGCCGATGGTGAAGCTGCCTTCAAAAATGTCGTTTCTGGATGATGGGTTTGCAACTTCTTGCTGGAAATAGGGGCTCGAAGTTCTCGATTGGTAAGTTGCTGATGGAGATGAAGAGGATATTGTCAGTAGAAGTAGGAGTGATTTTATTGGGCCGATCTAAAAAAATTTAAAGATACCTGAGTAATATTATTGTAGCAATACAGGTTGTTTATCGAATCGTTACATATCATGGACGTATAAATACGTCCATGTTACATATAGGAGTATTAAGGATGGATGGCATTCGGCAACATTGTCGAGTCAAATATAAAAAAAAAAACGCAATATGTGCAGTAATTTTGATGGCGCATTCCGAAAAGCAATTGAAAAAAGTGTGTCCCATTGACAAAGACTCATCATCTGCCAATATCTTTGAATTCGAACACCCTATTGATAATTTTGGATAATAATCGTTTAAGTAACTCTACTTAGTAAAAAACACTGATTGTTTGGCAATTTGAAGTATTTGAACAGTTTTATATCTTCATGATAAAATGCTGCGAACCTTAAATTTGGATGAACCTGTATGCACTTACATAATATAATATGAGATGATAATAATCACACGATCTATTAATTTATTGAACCACATAAACATTACTCGCATTTATTATATAGAGTGTGACTGCTATCACGTTATTAAATTCATAATCATTCGCATATATTATACAGGTACTTATATCTACGAATATGTATTTAGGTGACTGATTTACGTTACCTTGTCTTTCTAATTTGTTCAAATTCAATACCCTGATACCTATACCTCTGACATCCAAATAATATAGTGATATAAAAATTGCAGTGCGATAAATATATGTAAGTAAAATCATCGTCAATCTGATATGGATAAACTTCAATAAAACTGTTTTAACCTGAGAACTTAATCAAATTATTGGCCCTTTGGTTGTTATCTTATTCATTCAAATAAGAAACGGAAAATATCGAGTGCACAAAAAAACTAGGATCAGAGAAATCAGATTTTGAAATTAGGTGCGGATATGAAGTAAAGTGTGTAAAACGATCCTTTTGAATCCAAATATTAGAAAATATACAGGGTGTCTCATTTAAAAATCGACAGTTTGGGTTACTTCCGGTTGAACCGGAAGTTATAGAACATTGTTTTGTCAATTTATGAGTATATGTAGTTTATAGTATACCTGCTAGGAATATACCTACCCATTTCTGGTTCAGAAGTTACAGCATTTTGGCTGTTTTTCGTTTCCACGATATAGTGTTGAAATACAGGGTGTTTCATGGCTTCATCTCATTGCCTTCTTGTTTTGATGAAGAATCAGGTATAGGACTAGAGGTCTTATAAGTGCTTATATAGTTAAGGGGTCTCAAAGTTCATCGAAATAACGTTTACGCAAAAAAAATCATCTTGTTAGTACACAGGCACAACCGAATATATTGTTCAGCTATCCATATTTTTGTTTGGAAATATCCATCTTCTATTGTTACTATAATAGCCGGAATATCATTATGATTGCTGGTACATAAAGCGACTACGTGTAATACAATTCAAAATAAGATGATTGGACCCAACTTATTAATATAAAAAAATCTACTGTTTATCCGTGGGACAAGTTCAAAGTTCACCAAATAAAACATATTGTTGGGCGCTGTTACAAAATGAGTTGAACAAAATGGATGGAATTTTTCAAAAGTTCATTTCAGAGGATAACCCTTTTGTCAACTATCGACGAAACGAGGAAGAAATTGTAGAAGGGTTGAAACCACCCTCACCCCCTGAAACTTCTTTCAGAACATTCTTAGGGGTGGTAGTAGGGTTCTCGAATTTCTTGAACGAGATTATTAATTATTAGTTTGTAACTCTTGTGAAAATTTCGTATTCCGCATAGTTCCGAAAGAAAAAAATTTTATCTCAAATAATGCTAAGACATATTTCTATAGTAAAAGTTTGATAAAATTGTAATACAAAATTATTTGGCAGCGGAAACAAACCAATCGACATTTGTATCAATGAAGGTGGGGGTGATATTGAACATTAACTTAGAAAGAGGACGTTCTGCCTCTGTTTCCACTGTCAACTAAATTTTTCATTACAATTATATTAAACTTTTACTATAGGAATATCTGTTAGCAGTTTCTAAGAAAACATTTTTTTCCTGTGTAGAATAAAGACTTGAAGGTGTCATTTTACCCATCAGGAAAATATTTTGCAGCAATATTTTGAGTCGGATATATCGAAAAGTATCTATTCTCAGGAAATTACTTTATTGTCAAAAATAGAGGATTCTGAGATGAAATCAAAAACACTGTTCATTTTTTTGATTCACGACATGGAGTACCGGTACCGATATCTGAGCACTTGAAGATCTTCATACGTTCTTACCCTAAATTCGCCATAAAATCAAAATCCGTTGTTTCTCGAATTATTCAGTTATTAAAAATAGTACGAACCATTTCCATTTTTTGTTTGTAGTCCAAATATCCTTGACGAACACTTTATCAACGCTCTAGACCACTATACTAAAATGGTTATAGATACTCGATGTCTCGCTTTCTTCGTCAATGTTGATCTGGTTGGTCAAGAATGCTCAAGCCTGCATGACAAGCATTCTGAAGAAATAAGAAATACTGCCAAACGTAACATGACATAACAAGGAATGATCGGTCCCCTACTTATTTATCGACCCAACAAATCATTTCACTTAGTTTCAAGTTCAATGGGAAATCGAATTGAAGTATAGTCTGATACGCACTGACGAATAGCTTTCAATCTGTAATAAGTACCCCTTCACTGAAGAAAAAGCTGAATTAATGTTCCATCAATGAATATTAAAATGTAAATGCTCATACAGGGTGATATTAGGCGACCATATATAATAGACCTCATGAGACTATGTGCTGCATTGGTTCAAGAGTCTGCTATAGACTACGTCGAACGCATCTAGACTTAATTATTTAGGTAGTTTATAGAAAGAGTGTGGACACGCTTGTCACCACTGACATTTATGAATTATTATCATTCTCAGATTCAAAATGTCACTTCTGAAAATTGTCGTCCCAGCGAAAATGTTTTCGAATATATCTTGTTCGTTAAAGAATTGCAAAACTTCTAAGAATGATGCGGTTACCATTTATATTTGAGTTGCCCAAAGACGAGAAGAGATTTCAAGTGTTTCGTTGAAGCTTCAACTTCCAATATTCATTTCATGGAAATTCATTCAATTATGTAATATTGATATAGCTACAAAATGCTTTGTTCCATATTTGTGTCTCATGTTTTTTGTTCAGATGTTTAACAATATGACTGTGCCGACACTCTTCAAAGGGCGTAAAATACGTTTATAGGTGAGTGTTTAAAGAAAAAATGATGAAACTAACAAATATATAATTTTTTTGCTCTACCCCTCCTTCCCCACAGAAAAAAATTACTACACCCTTGTAGGCGACACAGTAGTGATATTATTGATTATTTCTCATTCATTCTTTCATTCGCCATTTTAATATACAGTGAGGACGTAAAAAGTCCTCCCCCCCCTTTTACCTTTGAACGGAACAAGCTAGCGAGGTCGGGTAAAATTCAGGCAAAAAGGTACCTCTTTTACTACTATTCGGCATGAAAATGGTTGTGGTCACGTGACCTAGTATCAAGTGGGCACCATCAACTTTTTTTTTTCAAATTCAAATAGGGGTCACGTGGTACCTCGTTTTGAAGGCCTTTAGATTATCTATCCAACACCGCTTCGTTTGTACAAATCGGCCAAGCCGTTTCAAAATGACAAGCGTTTGAAATTTGCTTCAAATATTAATATTAATGCATAAAAAATCTGAATAAATTTTAATTGCAACATGATTTCAAGTAGGA